GCTGGCTGCTGGCCACACACAGTAGCCCATGGCAACCCGCTGCCACAGGGGCTGCAGCCTACGCTGTCGCCGGCGACTCATGGCAACCCAGCTCCAGGTTGAGCTGTTGTTCAGCATCTTAGTTGTTGAGGACAGTGTCACTGGCCCTCTGGCGTCCCAAACCAGTTCTTAACCAACACGCCACTCGGCCGGCCCTATGTATTGTTTTTACAAATATTACTAAACATTGTTTTGTAAACGTTTTAAAATCACCATATATGAACATTTCACCATGTTATTAAATATACCTTTGAAATATGATTTTTAATGACCATTAACGAAAGTCTCTACAAGGGTCAGCAGTAGCAGTGTCAGCAGGCAGCTCTTACAAGCTTTCTAGTCTCAGCCATATCCGTTACTGTTATATCAATCTAGCATTAAAGTCACCAATTGTTGTCACATAGATCAACATTGCATTTCTGCCACTGACATCAGCTGCTGGAAACTTGAAATTGGTTTTGATTGCAGCTCACTGGATTAAAATGAGTTTTACAGCATTTGCCACCAACATCTCTGTTGTTAGGCATACTCGTATGTAAAACTGACCATAGGATATTAGGTCATTAACAAATAGGAGGAAATATAGGTCCCATACAAGGACTCAATTTGAATTGATTTGGTGTAAGAGATTCCTGGCACCATATAACACAATCTTATTTTTGTGTTCCTTTTAAATTATTAACTAATATAAATCATTTATACTTACCTTAGAAAAGATTAAATAACTCTCGTGAAAACAAAGCATATCTGTGATTTTTAAAAAAGATTTAGGGAAGGAATCCTTAACATTTTTGAGAAAATATTTAAATTTTTTTAAGTTATAGTTCAAGTTTTCTAAGCTGTATAAGCTAGGGGGAGTTGAATGTGGTATTGAGAACTACAAGTAGCTGAGATATCTAAAGTAAGGGATACATTTCTAGAACAAGTCTTGCAGGTATAGTCTCTTTAAAATGCACAGAAATATAGGCTTCTCTCTAATAATTTTTCACTGGGCCTGAGTAATTTCCTTTGTTCTGTCACACTACACACACACAAACACACACACACACACAAACACACACACACTGCATTTATGTTAAACTTCATAAAATGCAAATTATCTTTTTTCTTTTCCACTTGTCTTTCCACAAGAAGTGTTTCCTGAATTCCCAGAGTTAAGATATAATAAAAGCCTGGAAGTATTTGCATCCTTAGGATCTGAGTTTCCCCCTATTGCAAGGGAATTAAATGCTGGAATCTGAGAGCAAGACGTTTAGAGACCGGACACTGCATTGCCTTCCCCTGTGCTTTTTCTGTACATCCTAAGAAAACTGCCCAACCCAGTGCCTGCTGATTAGATGTACACTTCAGTGCTGTTAGTGCAAAGGTTATCCTCTGGAGCAAGTGTATTATCAATGAGTCATCACCTTCAATTCTTAAACTTCCCTGAATGGTTTCTTGTTTACTTTAGCCATAATATCTGTGGAAGGCCCTAAAATCAACTTATTGTTGGGCCTTCCTTGATACTCCTTAGTTTGTAAAACCACTTCATTGCAAACTTTGTTATCTTGAATGTTACATCCTGATTGCTTACCCCTTTTGTGTGTTTTGCTTTGGAATAAGTTTACCTAGCTTTATTTTTAGAACTGTTAATAATTTCATAATCTATCTTTTGGATATCACATGGCAAATGTGAAAATGAAATTAACTTCATAGGAAATAGTGTATTAAAAGTCTTTAAATTTCTTAAGCATTCAAAAATAGAACTTTAAGAAGCTTCTTTAAAATGTCTAATACCCAAAATTAAATTCTTTTCCAAAACCAAATCCATTGTGTCTCCTCCACACCCAGGTTACTAAATCATTCTGGTAAAAAGCCAACAAGAGAATGGAAAGGCAAGAGGAGACAAGAAGTAGATCTCTCGTATGCTGATTATACCGTGTTTTTAATTTGTTAGCTTTCTTCTGTGATATATAAAGTGCCTCACTAATTTAGGTAATATTTGGAGACATATTAAATATATTTGGGCAATGGGACTGTACTATTACTCCTACTATCATAAAACTAAAAGAAATAATTTTAGCTTTCAAAATATCTTCACACATGTTTTACCTTTGATCCTAATTGCTTTTCACAAATATATATATAATCTGACACTGAAATATTTGCTTATTGTGATTAATCTCATGTTTCTACAAATGAAATGTTGTAAGTAGAAAAAAAAACATTGGAAAATTAGAACATACATTTGTCTCCTGTTTTTTGTTTGTTTGTTTGGTACTACTTCACATAGCTTCTTTTTTTAATACACAGTTTTCCCTCTCTTTTTCCACAAGAAAAGTTAAATATATTACCTGACATATACAGTTAAATTTTATCCTGGAGGGCCTGCCGAGTGGCGCGTTGGTTAAGAACTGGCTTGGGCCGCCAGAGGGCCCCGGTTTGGATTCCCCATATGAGGGCCAGTGACACTGTCCTCTACAGCTAAGATGCTGAACAACAGCTCAACCTGGAGCTGGGCTGCTGTGAGTCGCCGGTGATGGCATAGGCTGCAGCCCCTGTGGCAGTGGGTTGCCATGGGCTACCGTGTGTAGCCAGCAGCCAGCGTGAGTGGCCAGCAGCTGCAGTGAGCGGCCGTCCAGAAACCGGCGACTGATGTGCCTCGCCTGGGAAGAGCGCAATGATGGTGCCAACTTGGGTCAGTGAAGCAACGTCCTCCACAAC